TTTTTAACAATGATATTCATTTATTAAAGATCAGGGACCATAGACAATATTTTAAATATCCAAGATCAAAAGGTCTGTAGGAAGCCACAAGTAACTGGGTACATTCAAGGATCAAGGGCAGAAAATCCCTTCCTGATGGTCACCATTAAGCAAAGGATGTATAACATCCATCACACATCTGTTTTAGGGACAGCATTTTCTAAAAGTACACACCTGTTTATAAATACACATTGTCATATCAAAAGCTAGAGCTAAGTTCCAAAATGTGCTGCTGCTATCTTTCACAAGGCCTTCTTTTTAATCTTGGGGTTTTAAGAACACCTTCTTTGTCTTGGTCTTTTTCATGTTTCCATTTTCATCTTCTTCAAAATTGGCACGATCTCGTTTCTTGGCAAACTTTTTTCCAATTGTCCCCACCAGGCTTTCATACTTTCTAGCCATTTCTGCATCGGACACATCAATTTCCACGGCTTCATCTTTAACTTCTTCAGTTTTGCTCTTAGAGTTCATCTGAAGCATTAGTTTCTCAACCTCAGGATTAAATCCTCGGAACGACATTCTTCCGTAGAGAAGGTCTTCGCATAATGAGAATCTCTGCTCTTCGATTATGACGCTCTCCTTCTCTTTCAGCTCTGGCAAGTCCAAATACCAGTGCTCTTCACTGATGATTTTCTTTTCTTCTTCTTCCAGCTGCTTCTTGGATAACCAGTTTGTGCACCGCCGCCATGGCGCTCCCTGCCCGGCACCCCATGGTACTTTTAATAGCCCTCTCCAACACCGTAATTCAAAGGCCTCAATTCTTCCTTACTTATTTTCCAACATTCACATGCATATGAAGCTATTATTGGCAATACCATGGCTTGGGTCAGATGCATCTTAATCCTCAAACTGATATAAAAATCTTCTAGATCAAAGATCAAAATCTTGAACACTTTAAAGAGGTCTTGTACAGCAGCTCTGCCTAATGCAATACAACCTTTGATTTCTTCACTGCTCCTTTCATGAGTGTTGATGGTGGATCCAAATAAAATGAAGTATTTGACAGCTCCAGTGTTTTCTCCACCTATTATGTTGTTACTTCTTGGTCCAGTGGTGGGCATTTTTGCTTTCTTTACACTGAGGTGCAACCCATACTGAAGGCTGTGGTCTTTGATTTTATAAGTATTTAAATCCTCTTTGCTTTCAGCAAGCAAGGTTGTATCATCTGTATTTTACAGGTTGCTAATGAGTCTTCCTCCAACCCTGATTCCATGTTCTTTGCCATGTAGTCCAATTTCTTGGATTATGAGCTCAACATAAAGGTTAAATAAGTATGGTACAAGGACACAACCCTAGCACACACCTTTCCTGATTTTAAATCATTCAATATTCCTTTGTCCTGTTTGAATGAGTGCATCTTGGTCCTATGTACCTAATACCCATTTTTCACAATGTTATCCATAGCTTGTCATGATCCACATCGTTGAAAGCCTTTACGTCGTCAATAAAGCAAAAGTAAACATCTTTCTGGTATTCTCTGCTTTCAGCCAGATCTATCTGATGTCAGTAATGATATTTCTCATTTCATGTCTTTGTCTGAATCCAGCTTAAACCTCTGGCAGTTCCCTGTTGATGTACTGTTGCAGCCATGTAAAAACTATTTTCAGCAAAATTTTGCTTCAATGTGATATTAATGATATTGTTAAATGATTTCCACATTCCTTTTAGTCACCTCCCTTTAAAATGGGTATGCATATGTATCTCTTCCAATCAGTTGTCCAGGTAGCTATTTTCCAATTTTTTTGGTATAGATGAGTGAGTACCTCCAGTGCTGCATCCATTTGTTGGAAATTTTTAATTTGTATTTCATCTATATCTGGAGCTTTCTTCCTTCATTATCATTGTTTCTTGATGTTATGTTGCTTCTTGAAATGGTAAAACATTCACTATTTCTTTTTGCTATAGTGAAACTGTATTCCTTCCATCTTCTTTTTCTGCTTTCTGTATCATTCAATATTTTTCCTATGGTATCATCCATCAGTATTACAAGTCAAGGCTTGAATTTTTTTCCTCAGTTCTTTCAGCTTGAGAAATGCTGAGCATGTTCTTCCCTTAGGTTTTCTAACTCCAGATCTTTGCACATTTTATTGTAATATTTGACTCTGTCTTCTTAAGCTGTCCTTTGAAATTTTCTGTTCAGCTCTTTTACCTCTTTATTTCTCCAATTTGCTTTAGTAGCTCTACTTTGGAGATAAAGCTTCAGCATCTTGTAGGTCATCCATTTTTGTCTTTTCCTTTTTTTCTTGTCTTCTTAATGACTGAAGGACCTTGCACCTGATCAATGGAATGGCATTGCAACTACCCCTGCCCAAAATCTCCATACTCCCGCCCATTGCAAACTTGCCAGAACTGTACCCAGACCACACCGCCTTTAAATACCCCAGTCTGTATGAGAACAGACAGGCTCTTGGCCTCCTTTGGAGACTTAAGAGTACCCTCTCCTAGGTTTACTCTCATTAAACCTGCCTGCTGTTGAAGCCAAGACTCTCTCTTTCGTCTCTCTCTTTGTTTCTTTTCCTTACAATGACCTTTTGCTTTCTTTCTTTCTGTATGATGTTCTTCATGTCATTCTATAACTCTTCTGGTGTTCAGTCCTTAGTGTCTAATGCATCAAATCTGTTCTTGAGATGATCTCTAAATTCAGGTGGGATATATTTAGGGTCATATTTTGGCTCTTGTGAACTTGTTTTCATTTTCTTCAGTTTTAGTCTGAACTTGCATATGAGCAATTGATGGTCTGCTCTACAGGTGGCCCCTGATTTTATTTTAATTGATGAATGGAGCTTTTCTACCATCTCTTCCCACAGATATTGTCAATTTGATTTCTGTGTATTTTATCTGCTGAGGTCATGTCTTGTGTTTCTTAAAAAAGGTATTTGCAATTAATAGGTCATTAGTCTTGCAAAATTCTATCATGTGATCTCCAGCTTCATTTCTATCACCAAGGTCTGCTGCCCTTGGGAATACTACTCCAACCCAATGCTATGTCTTGGAAGGCCCTCAGGGTAGGGTGCTCTCAGAAGGTCCAGGTTGCAGTACTTCCCCTTAGGTCATATGCCTCAGCAGAACCAAATACACACTAGGAATTATGAAGAGTAAACCAGTTGTATGGTAAGTTTGGCACATCCCAATGAAGGAGTTACAGTGCAGATTACCCAGGCTTTGGGGCTACAGCATGCTTCTTTGATAACTAACTCCTTTCTAAAAACTATTTTTGCTGCACTGGGGGATATTGGGCGAAGGTGTGAAATGACTCACCTCCCTGTAGACTTTACCAGACTTTAACATGACACAGACAAAAACGTTAGCAGCTTGGCTCTGAACATGAGAGGGTCAGAGGACCAGGGAATTTATATGAATATCGGTCCAGATTCCCATGTTATCAATCCATCACTATTGGACTGATGTCTCAGTTTCAACTCACACCTATGGGTTTATGAATGTCCCTACAACCAACTGATGGAGAAGAAGATCCCAGTCTGGTTCATGGGTAAGTCAACAAAGAGATAGCTTACTTACTACACTTCCTTCAAAAAAAAAAACCATTGCCATCAAGTTGATTTCAGCTCATAGCAACCTTATGTACAGTTTCCAAAACTGTAAATGTTTATTTACATTTACACCAGAGCAGCTGGTGAATTTGAATCAATAGCTTTGTAGTTGACAGCCTGACTTCTAACCCACAGCATCACAGGTAGTCCTAAATGCTAGTAGTGAGGGGAAAGTCTACAGTGAGAAGACCACCTGTAAGAAGGGAGAAGAGGCCTGAAGTAAAGACCTACACAAACTGTAGGTGGAACCATTCACAGAGAATTTTGGAGTTAGGACATACAGTCCTCTACCATAAGTCCTGCAGCATCTCACAAGTGTCTCCTAATTTCACAAAGGCAGTCAGGAAAGGTTTCACTGAGAAATTGGATTTTGAATAAGAGTCTAAAACAAATGACTGAGCCAACTACATGAATGTCTGGGAGAAGAGGATTCTAGATGGGACAATGAGTGCAGCTTTGGAAAAGAAAGTGAAGTTTTGGAGTCTAGTCAGGTTCTACCCTGATGCCCATTGCTGCTCACCATGTGAGAACACTGTGCTCCCTCAGCTAGAATTTTTACTGGGTCAGACCTTATTCTTGGCTTCAGTAGTAACTGCAGTAGTATTGGGGCAAGTGCTCACTTTTTTCCAGGTCATCGTATGTCAGCCACTTACTAGTTATACATGCCCTCCCATTCAACATTTATCATTCCTTGTTATTACTGAAAACATATTGCCCCCATGTTCTTGCAACTCACTTTCAACCAACATCTATTTGTGATAGCATTCATGCATAGCTTACACAAGCTATTGTTTTGACTAGAGTCAAATACTACTTCCTGCCCACAGTAATGCTACTCATGACCCATTCCTCTAATAGTTTTGTTACTATGTCCATAATGACATCACATATTGCAGCTTCTCAGTAAGCTTTGTTATAGCTTATGACAGAACTGTTCCCAATTATTTTTACCCTTTGAGTGTCAGCCTTTATAACTGATAACTTAGCTGATGAGCTTGACCTCAAACCTTCCCTCACCAACCCTCTGTATCCCTTGAGTAATCTCTGTGCTCACCTAGAAGGCAGTTCCTGAGCTCTCTACATTATGGTGGCCTCTCACTTAAATGTCTCCCAGGGCGACCAAGCACAGTTAGTTACGTGACAATGATTTCTTCAAGAAGTAGGCATAGGGTAATGGTTTTCAAACTTCCCTGAGTCATAGAATTTTTTTGCTAAACAAAACTTTCTGCCAAACTTCAATATGGATCACATTGTGTGTAGCTACTCTGACAGATGGAATCCCTGGATGGCGCAAATGATTAAATATTCAACCACTAACCAAAAGGTCAGAAGTTCAGACTCACCTAGGGAGCCTTGAAAGGAAGGCCTAGCAATCTGCTTCTAAAAGGTCACAGCCTTGAAAACTCTAGGGAGTGTAGTTCTACTCTGCATACACAGGGTTGCCGTGATTAGGAATCAACTTGACAGCAACTGGTTTGGTGATTTTAGTTTTTTACTCTGGTAATAGTGAAGTAGTGTAGTGGTTATGAATCGGGCTGTGAACTGCAAGGTCAGCAGTTCGAAACTACCAGCTGTTCTGTGGGAGAAAGATGAGGCTTTCTGCTCCCATAAAGATTTATAGCCTCGGAAACTCTGTACAGGGTTGATATGAGTCGGCACTGACTCCACGGCACATAACAACAACAACAAAGTAGTGGATGAAAGTAGTTCCCAGAGACTCACTGAACTGTCCCTCACCACCTATATATACCTCTGAGGACAGTACCGGTCACTTCTCACATCCACTTTACTTCTCACACAACACCTTTAGGTTAGTGATGGAGAGAGCAGAAGCCAGGATTCAACAACTGAAAACTGGGGTCAGAGACACAGCACCAATTTTCCCTAACTGAGTCACCAGAAGAAAAGTACCTCTTTACCCAGAAAATAGGTGCGATTCCACCCATTCCCAATACTGAAGGTTTGTGGTAAGGATGAAGTGAGATCTGGATAAAACCATGAGAAAGGGCACCAATGCTCCTCATCACCATATTCTGGCTCTACTGATATGTAATACTGAAGAGCTCTGCAATCAAAGTCCCAGAAGCACTGTAAAAGAAAACATTCCACATACATTCAACAGGGAATGAAACATAGCTTAATTTCCCTCTTAAGAAACTGTTGTAGGAGCTGTCAGCTTTTCTAACTCTCATGAACAACATTCTAACAAACTGCTTTGTTAAAGTGCTTTTGGGATAACGGTTTTCTGGCAGGTCTTCCTCAAAACACACTGGGCCCAACAGTAACACAGGCATCAGCAAAGATGAGAAGTATACCTGGCCAGCAGATGCCCATATTCCACAGTCACAGTGCTTTTTGATTAAGGCAAGTCTCCAGAAAGCCTTGGTTAAAATGCAAAAATGATACATGGGATTTTTGTTTGTTTGTAAGGGCCGTTGAGTTGGTTCTGACTCATAGCAATCCTGTACAGGATTTCCAAGGAGCAGCTGGCGGGTTTGAACCACTGACCTAGTTGTTCAAGCCAAGCTTGTGGTCCAGTGCTTATTCTAATGGGTTGTTGTTGTTGTTGTTAAGTGCTAATGAATTGGTTGCAACTCATAGCAACCCTGTATAGGGTTTCTGAGAATCGACTGGTGAGCCTGCATCACCAACCTTGCAGTTCAAACAGACCCTGAAGTGCAACACATTAACCCACAGTACCACACCAGAACTTCATCCTAATGGGAAGCTGGAAACTGAGCCACGAGGTGTGAGGTATGCTAGTATCCAACTCTAAACAGATATGAAAGCAATTCTGCAGGAAGTCACACCACAAACCCCACTGGATCCCCTCAGATATCCACAAACTACAGAGGAAAACCCCATCTGCAACTTCTCTTCCCAAACATAGTGTCCTTCTTGTAGATGAACATCCTTAGACTCAAAAAGGCCTAGGAAGCAAGGAGTTAAGGTCCTGCCACATAAAATCCTGGGAGATGGTCTTACAAGGCCTTTGAGCTAGTGTAAAATGATCCTGTGTTTATACCATTGCAACTACTAAAATGTTAAAATTTTAATTGTGCAAACTTCAACTCCCTCCCTACAATTACAACCACTTACTCACAACTTCGCAAATTCAATTACACACTTTCAAGACCTCTTGTTTTTCTCTATTTTCACTTTAAAAATAATTTTTCACACTGAATTAACTGAGATTTTCAGCCCGCTGAAACCTCATGTGCACATCTGGCATGTTTTCCAGGGCTTTATACGATGTTTACTGTTGATGCTAGCAACTTGGAGTCAAATGAAGATTTGTTCTTTCTCAAGTTCTGTTAAAAGAAAATACACTTCCATCTCCACAATCAAGAAATCATGTGACTCCTTAAAAATAATTAAGAAAGTTACCTAAACACCAACAGGAGGCAGGATTACTATCGAGTCCCCTCGGTAACTTCATTTCAACTTTTTTTGTACCTAAGAAAGATGGCCCAGGAAAAACCCCAAGGACATCAGGACATCCAGGGGTAGGAGTGAGTCTTTGAGGCAACATCAGGCTTATATCTTTGAATCTCCACTTGGAATTTAGAACAGATAAAAATGAGAATCCTCCACCAAACAACTTGTACCAGAGGCAAGGCAGGAGCCACTTTCTAACATAACCTCAAGGGCATGACACTTGTTCTGCCAGGTATAGCATCTTAGGCCCTGTTAGAGCAGCAAAGCCTTGCTTCTTTGATATATATCATCTAGTCTCAGTCTCCTGATTGGACTTCACAGGGTGAGGAAACTTCCCTGTGATGCTCTTACTTCTCAGACCATGCAGTCTGCTTGGGCCAGTCTTCTGTCTGACGTTGGACCAACCCTATTCATTACATTCCAAATCAGTTGGATCAACCTAGCAATCTCTTGTAATCCTACACTGAGTCAGGAGGCAGGATCCACACTACCACTCACTTCAGACTACAGAGGAGTCTCTCGCACAGACCCTAAAGGAAAGAAAAATTAATGAAGCGTAATTTTCAAGGAGCAGAAACTGAGAACACCAAGTGAGGCTGGCCTGCCCTAGCTGTCAGACTAGGAAAGGAAAGAAAAATTAATGAAGCTTAATTTGCAAGGAGCAGAAACTGAGAACACCAAATGAGGCTGGCCTGCTCTAGCGGTCAGACTAGGCACGGAAAGACTCTTTCTACTCAAAGTGCTTCATAGACATTGGTCTTAATTCAACCCTCAAGGACTTACTCAGCTTCAGTCATCAGGAGCTCAAGAGGATGCCTTGGGAGAAATCAGATTTGTCTTTCTTTGTCATTCTGGTTTGAAGTAGGTGAATAATAAGAATGTGTAAACTTTCAGTGACTTGAGAGCTGTCCCTAATTCAGAGTGGATATAATCCTTACTAGCTCTTTTGTTGTTCTCCCTCTTAAGAACAAGCAGGAATAGAAAATACTTAGGTAATGAATGCAGCACATTATTTGCAAAAAAAAAAAAAAAGGATTTGTGCATCCTCAACAAATAGGTGCAAAAGTGTAAGGGGAGCACGTCTATTAATGGTCATGTGATTTCCATCAGACCCACAGATGACAAATAACAACTATAAACTCTGGAAATAAAAACACAAAAAAACAATTATCTGAATGTAGTTGAGAATGTTCAAAAGAAGAAGATTCCCTGGAAGAAGGTACTACATTAAGAAAATGCCCCATTTTTATAGCTTGCAGCCTTCGTATCCAGATATAAATTAATGAGGCACATGGCTACCCATTCACCCCAGAAATCTCATCAGTGTGCTCACTGTGAGAAGACATTCAACCGGAAAAACCATCTGAAGAACCACCTCCAGACTCATGACCCCAATAAAATGGCCTTTGGGTGTGAGGAGTGTGGGAAGGAGTATAACACTCTGTTGGGCTACAAGAGGCACCTAGTCCTCCATGCAGCCAGCAGTGGGGACCTCACCTGTGGGGTCTGTGCCTTGGATCTAGGGAGCACAGAGGTGTTGCTAGACCACCTGAAAGCCCACTCAGAAGAAAAACCCAATACTGTGACCAAGGAGAAGAAGCACCAAAGTGACCACTGCCAAGAGATGCTTCTACACCCGGAAGGATGTGCGGCGCCACCTGGTGGTCCACACAGGTTGCAAGGACTTCTTGTGCCAGTTTTGTGCCCAGAGATTTGGGTGCAAAGACCACCTCACACAGCATATCAAGAAGACACTCACAGGAGCTGATGAAAGAGAGTTTGCAGCATGGAGACTTCCTGGGCACCTTCCACTCCATCTCACCTTCATTTCAACTGAAGGCTGCTCCTCTGTCTCCTGTGCAGAATGGGCTTGCAAGCAACTTTCCAGTTGAGGTACACAGCCACACCCACAGGCCCTCAGAACCAATCTCCCAACCAGTGCAAGCCCTGCCAGAGCCCTTCCCTCCTCTCCTCCCCTCAGTCTTTCCTAGCTCTCCTCCTCCAGCCCTCGAGAATCACAAGTAAAACACCACTTCTATCTCATACCTCCTGCTTGTAAATCTGCCCCTCAAAGCAGATGAAAGGATTTTGCAATATCAGTCTGCTCAAGGACTTGCCCCTGCAAGAGCCTCAGTCACCTCACAAGCTCAACCTAGGTTTTGATCTGGCCAAGGGAACAGACCATCAATTACTCATA